GCGGGAGGCTTCCGAGAAATGTTTCGTTTAGCTAGGCGAAACATTTTGAAATTTTTCCGAAAATGTTCCGTCTGGAGAGAGTTCCGCGTACGTTCAACCAATCAGACGAAAGTTCTGCTTCCGAAGGATCACGAGTAATTTTCAATATGGTGATGGCTCTCGTTGTGAAATCATTCATTCAATCATGGGCAGTGGAAATAGATGCCGATTTAATTGAAGAAATATCGAAAAAACCGTATATATATTGCTCTTTTGTTGTAGTATAACCAAGTCATTTTTAAATGTTTATAACAATTCATTAAATTTATAATCGTGGAAATTTCAGAGTAGACAATAATATTTTATGACGTGCTCGGTGATAACGTGCTATTTCTGATCATTTGTTTACAAATTATTCGTCGCCAAAAGTTCGCCAAATTTGTCGTATTTTGTGCTGATCGTGTGAAAAGAATGTTATTGTTATATAATAGAATTTCTTTCATTAAGGGCAATAATTTTTTTTAATATGTTTGTATATGCTATCTAACTGATGCTGCGGCTGCGCAGTAAGCATGACAAGCAAACAGCAGGTAGCACATAAAAAACGTGCACAGTTGCCAGTGCTTACGGTGTAGGTTTTATAGGGGTAAGGAAGGTAATACATCAATTGATTATTCATTTTTAAAACTGCACCATTCATTTATAAGCACCCTTTTGCAGCAGTTGTGGCACATAAACGATGAAGCTTGGCATTGCTGTGGCTGAGTGTCAACGCGACATCAAATAACGACACAATAGGATTTAAGTATTATAGCTCCATGCTTTATTTCAATTCAAGAAGCAGATCAATATTCGTCACTAAATAAGATTATTTTAAATTTAATGCGTCATACTTTAAACAAAGAAAGGCAGAAAAGCAGCAGCGAGGTTTTGTAGTGCAGGAGGAGAGGAGTTTCTGTTGTGTCGCTAAATGGCGCGCATTCGTTATTTATAGTAGCGGTTACGTAATAAGCTAGCATATTCTAGAAGGTACTGGTCTAGGGGGAAGATCCTGAATGCAGAAAGTTAATTAAAGGTTGCTGCTTCGCAAAGAGCAAAGCCGTCCTATTTTTGTATATTTTACATCTTCAAGATGTTTCTAGGGGCAGAGAGAGTCAGGAGCGACACTGATGTGTTGGAGATGCTTACGAAATCAGTCATGGCTAGATATAAGCCGGAACAATGCAACAGATTTCTTTTTAGGCCATTCAGTGACTTCAAGGATCTTGGAAAAACGAGTTCCTGAGGGCTTTTCTAATAATTGATTTGATGGAATTCTAAGGGAGACCAGGTATGATGCTTGAAGGACAGAAGCTCATTTCTTAGCCGAGAAATTAAGCTATGCTTCATTACCCTGAGCTCGACAATGGGCAGGAAGCCATTGAAATACAACTTCTTTGTCATTGCTAGAGCGCCAGTTAAGGAGGGGGAAACAGTAGTCGACAACTGAAATCGGGAATCAGTCTGTAAATCAATAGCTTAAAGAGCGGCTCTGGAATCTGATAAGAAGACACCTTTGAAAAATGCCCCAGACGAGTCTGTAGCTGTAGCACAGCTTCGTGGGCGGCCGCAGTCTCACCGTGAACAGCAGTTACACATGGGCCAATGGGTGCGTATAAAGAAAATAAAGTTAAATTTCAGAAATACACCTGCACCTTCACAATAAACACCTGCACCAGCATTAGTGAGATCACCCATTCTGGAACCATCAGTACACACTACTATCAGTATACCATTCTTTTTCCGGGTATCAAGAATTTATAGGTTTGTATTGTCAAAGCTTTGAGCACATTTTCATTAGTGTGGATTTTAAAAACTTCTCGTTCAAGTCTGAGGTGGATGGAGAAATCCTTGTTTTCAATAGAACAACGAACGAAGTAGCAAGAAATGTTCAACTTAGAATTTAAATTCAAATTTGAAATTACTTCAGAAACTCCCTAGACAAAACCACATTGTTTCTTCAGATTCCGCTCTGCCCAAAGGAAACCTAATCTCAAAAGACAGGCATCCTTGGTTTCTGATAATTTTCTCCTAAAGAAAACTTTCTCGGATAATCACACTAATAGGTCTGTTATTAGTACATAACTGCATGCAATCAATATGAGTTGTTTTCACAGCACCTGTAAACGCAATGCCTGATTTTTCAAAGTCTCCAGATTACTAAGAATTTGTTTAGAAGACGTGACTAACGATTATTAATATTTTAATGACAATAATGTGTCATTAAAATATTAATTAACACACTAAATATTAAAAGAATTATTATGACATTAAAATATTAATAAAATTAACATGAAATATTGAACCGTGAAACGAAACTTTCTCACGAAATTAAATAAAATAAGAGCAAAGTAAAAGAATTCAAACAATGTTTACGAAATGAATAATTATCTTGGAAAATAAAAGAAATATTTTAAAAATGAAAAAACTAAGATGCATATTATAAATCAACCGTGTTTAAAATAGATAAGATCTTAGAAATTGCCCAAAAATCAGTTCTTACGTAAGGAACGAATTTAGAACGATTACGAATGAGACGAATCATTACAGAAGGGAAATAGAATAAGAAATAAAATGTCTTAGAACCAGAAAATATACACTAAATAAGGTGACTGATTAGGGAATAGACAAAAAGCAACCAAAAATATCTGAAAGATTTCAGATTTTATATTGCGCCCAAAGAGACTTTTTTTAATGTTTTGAGTGATTTCTTTCTTTATTTAATATCATGTTCTTCGCCCTTAAACCACATAAAATCCAATTCAACAGCAATATCTCAAAATATTTAAATACAGCATATTTTTAGAATGTCCGGTAGACAGTCTCGCGCGCTAGAGATAAAAATGTTATTTTTCGTACAGTTTTGCCATTGCTCGCCCTGAAATCGTTGAGTTTATTAATCAAAAATTCGTGAAAGTTTTACAAAATATGAAATAGATAATAAAACAAATTCGAAGTTCGAGCGTCAGGTGCCCGTGTTTGGTTGGAGGATTACGTTATTCAAAATTTGATAGTTCTATAGAGCCATCAAATTTTACTATATAGGTACCGCCGTTTTTTTCACAATGCGAGAAAAATAGATACATTCCTGCAGATTCTTCATTATTTAATTTCTTTAAATATAACACAGGGTGATAATATATTTGGTGGCAACAATTTAAAAAGTGAAACGGACATTTATAGCGAAACAACGCAAAATGCCGTTTCGAAATTAATATTCGCTCTGGGCTACCGGCCCTTTGGACTAATGACTGGCGTAAAATGCGCGAAAATTCTTGGAAGGATTATAAATTTTCTTTTAAAAATTATTTGTATTTCTCTCTCTCCCTATATATATAAAATTTGAATTTTGTTCGATTTGGGTTAGGGCCCCGCCCTCGAGCAGCCTGTTGCTAAGCGCTGTTCAAACAAAGAATGTATATTGTGAGATTGTACATAAATGTTCCAAGTATCCATGTACAATCTAACAATACATATTCTTTGTTTATTCATAGATGTTCCTTGGTTCAACTACATATATACTGCGATTCTGCTTGAGTTCGTCTGAGTATTTATTGCCGGGCCAATACTTCCCAGAATTCATAGCATGAGAATGAAGCATGAGCATGTAGTTTAGCTGAGTAATCTCTACAGAAGATATAACTAGATACTATAGATATAACACAGGAGATATAGTAACTATAGAAAAAAACTAGAACAACTATAGAAAAATACGAAAATTAAGAAAAAATGGCGCACGGAGCCCGTGAAAAATAGCAGCACGAATTGAGTTGAGAGGCTAGAAAGCTTGAACTAACCGTGCAGGGAGGTGACGTCAACCAATGAGGACCAATCGGCGCTGCTGGTGTTGAAATCAGTTCACAAAATAATTGTTGTTAGGATGTTGAATGATAAGTAATTATTCATTAGTGGTATATTACCTACTAAAATACTCAGAAAATTTAAGGCAATATCAGGGTGATATCGAGTAGACGGTCAAAGCACTCAGTTCTCAAATAATGTTTTTAATGGTGGTCATTAATTATCCTTTAATTAATGAAAAGGGTGGCCAGAAGTGATGATCATTTTGTTATGGAGGCACCTAATAGGAGCTCATCGAACCTCCTATGGTTTGGCTTTATGAGATTACGGCAAAACCTCGAGGGCTATCCGCCTGATATATGCCTTCGTGGAGGACTTTCTAAGGGAAACTGGCTCGTATACACGTTACACGTGTGGGAAAACACGAAAATACCCATGCAGCCAGTCCGTTCGCGGGATTCGAATCTCGAACCGAACTACCAGTGTTCAACGACTTTACAGCTCGGCCGTTGGCGGGCCCCGTTACCTGCTATGCAGGGACAGACAATTTACATTCATAGGCGGCCTCGAATAAATATAAAAATACAGAGATTAATCCTCAACTACAGAGAAGTGAATTTTCATTTTATGTGGGTGCTGAACTCTACATAAAGGCGCTTCTTATCCAAAGGCAATACTCACTGTATACATTTGACATTTTGAAGATAGGTAGTTGAAAGGACAAAGGAAATCCTTTCAGTTATCCGTTTATCTTCTTATCTTAAGATTAACAAAATCAAATATTAAGGGACAGTGTTTCAAATGCTTTCCCCGGAAATATCCTGTGGTAATACAGCAACTGGAAGCGTAGAGGAAATGCAATTTCTAATTCTGCCGTTATTAACTTTTAAATAGTTTAGACGGAAACAAACTAAAATATTATATTTGACAATTTTTTATATTTCCGATTTAGTCGAAGTATATACTAATTGTTTACCTTCAGACGTGTTACAGAAAACTGAAAATTTCTGTGTGTTGTTTTGGCAACATAAAATACAATGTGCCGGGAATGGACATTCTTTTTTAAGTGAATTCAATAATTTCAAAGGGGTAATTCTACCCCTTTGTGCCTGTGTTATTCAGAGACACGTGGTTTGCATTTCCCAGACTGTTGCAATAGGCGAGCAGAGCGGTAATTGGTGCGCTCTCGTATCAGATATCATACAATCGAAAGTATTTGGCTTCGGTGCGTGTACTGAGGTTGTAACTGTGGTGTAATTAATCACTGGTTTATATTTATTATTACGAGATTGTTTTACCATGTTTAACAAGGTGTTTCCTACATTTTGCATTGTCATATTTTTAACAACGACCATTTCTTCTTCACTGAAAGAATCTGTGTCTTACGATGGGTGAGTTTAGTTTTTTTTCTTTCGTTCGTTCCCACATGCTGTTCTTTTATTGAAACTAAGGTATAAATAAGTTTTATTAAAAATCTCGTATTCTTTTGAAATCCAAATATAAATAATTGAGAAATCATTAACACACCAATGAAAAGTCATCTCGAATTGGATCATATGGTTATAATTATGCTAATGATAGCTATTTGAGATCTTTCATACAATTCACGATGCCTTATTGCCTTATATACAATTCACGATGGCTTATATTTCATACAATTCACGATTCTACAGGAAAAAACGTCATAACGAATGGTCGCTACAACGAAAACGAAGTTAATATATTTTTATCAGTTAGAGACTTTTTGAATTAATTTTTAAAATAGGAAACACTATCAAATATTATCGGTATCCTGCTAAACTTTAATTTAAGCAAACACACATTGTATTTTATTTTGGTTTGGTTTATTTCGTTATTGCAAAGCACACGAATGTTATGTGCCTAAGAAGAAGGATGGTATCATGGAGAATTTTCTAAGGGAAACTGTCTGGTAACCACGTTACGAATGGTGATAATTTGTATTTTGTTCTAGTTAAACTTTAATCATTACTAAATGATTTATTCTCTGTCTCCATAAAGTTTTGGCTTGATTCATTAGTATTAATCCAGTTAACTTCGGAAATGTATTTTAAATTCACCGAATTTTAAACTAATATTCTTTTAGTACCTGTTGAACAAGAAAGAAAGTTAATTCTAAGACTATTTTTCATGAAAAAAATTATTTCCGAAATTGGGACGTTTCCTTTTTATTTTTTATGTGTTTCGTTTTCCGGTGTCACTCTGTATTGCTCTTACTTCTTTCTCAGCATGAGATCCAAAATTCAACGAAAACCGCAATTGGATTGAAGCCAATTGCGGAATATTATGAACAAAGAAGTTCTGAATATTAAAACAAAGAAAAATACTAATCACGTGGTCAGATGCGAATATTGTGATATCTGATGTATCATATCGTTTCATTGTTATTTAACTCTAGAATGCTAACACTTTTGTTTTAACATGCATGTTGAATTAAAATAATTGTCATTCTTTCTGCTTACTTTTTCTCTTCCTGTATTTCGGAACTTGAATGAAAACACGTGTACATTTGAGTTCGAATCTTGAGATCACTTTTCTACAGGTCAGTATTATAGCAAACTCTGCAAGGTTCAGAAAATTCACTCCGCCAAGGTGCCTGAAACTTGTAAACTTGTTGATTTTTCGGGATTTTATTGCTATTCGCCCTTACAAGAACAAGAAGGCATTTCCGAAAACATTTTGGCTGTCAGAAAGTACATTCATTCCCATAAAAATTTATTCACTAAGAAGAATTGTCAAAATCGAACGAAATTTCATGTATGCGATTAGAAAATCAAAACCGAGGGATCATTTATTACAGGAAAAACTACTGATTATTGGAGGTTCTAGTACCCTACTGAACCACCTGTAGCGTTAATGCATGATGTAATACGGCTGGGCTCCGGAGCATATCGGTCTCCCTTGTATCCAGTGCGACATCATTCTATACCAGTTGCTGTAAACTTGCCTCTACTTCGACCAAATTTCTAGACTGCCCAAATCATGGAGGTAAGACCGGAGAATCTTACCTCCATGGGTTGGGTAGATCCATGGACCATGGAGATTCTTACCTTCCTGGTCCAACCGATGATGAACAGGGGCTCATAGAACAAACTCTCATAGACACAATGTAAACCAGTTCGGTCGCCCTCATGCGAATCTAAGCCAGTATGCGGCGAAATAAATGCGCAGTGTAGTGACGAAATTATTTCGCGAATAATCATTTCTACTTTAAATGCTTTATAAATTTCAACGCTGGCCATTTTTCAGGTGAAAGTTGCGGGAATTCTGGGAAAAATGTGAAAAATACAAAGGTGAAATAAAATAAAAATGAAAATTAGTCGAACAGAACCTTAAAACTCGTTATATCCGACTTTTACGCATTTGGAAGCTAGCCGTACTTTGCTTTTTAGCGGGTTGGGGGAGGGACGTAGTTTGACACCTTAAAAAGTAATTTGTGTTAATAAATGGCTAGAATAGTACTTAGTTGTACTATGATGTGATTATAAAAATTCAAAAATGCTGAATAATCTGAAATTTCTGTTCGGCTACGACTTTGAATTCGTCCCCCTCCCCGCTATCTATTTCCTACACATAAATAAATATTTTAAGTTACTTATTATGACAAAGCATTCGAGGGCTGTCTAACTTAAGAGCAGGCATTCTTGAAGCTACAGCGAAGGAAACAAGCTTAAATTGATAATTCATTTCAAGAAAGCGTACAAAGTCCCTCATTCAATTCTCGAGCAGAATTCATGAGATGGGTTACTAATTTCAATATTCTTACTCACTGTAAGTAAATATTTTTAATCTGATAAACGTTAAATATATTTCATAGTGTAATTGTTCTGTAAAGTAAATTTTTGTGAATTTGAATAAACAAGATATAGTTTCTTAACCACAGACACAGAAATGAAGGACATGCACATTCTCTCTGTTGCTATATGCGAACATTTATGAAACAATCCTTGGTTTCCTTCATAGTTACGTTCTCAAGGAATTTATTATTTTACTTAATATTATTTTTTAAGTGCTCTATTCTTAGTTTCTTATAAATAAAGATAGTTTATTAGAAATTTTGTTCATTTTTCTTTAAGCTCTAACAATGACACAGAAAAATGATACGTCTATGCAGAGGGTGTAGTGCTAACAGTGCGCTCCAGTAAACCTGGAAAAGTTCCATTAAGGAGTCTAAATTTAAGAAATCTTGCCATAAGGTCCTAAACAAAATGGCAAAGGGTGATGGGATAAGATGAGACACTTTACCTTCGAGATGCTTCGGCAACCAGGGCCTGATTACTACCTAGGGCCCATGAGCAAGAAAATTTGCTATTGTACTTTCTCCCTTCCTTCTTCCTATGAGCGAGGAAGTTCCTGAGAGAGTCTTGTGTCCAGTGCTCAGCCGGTATAGTGAAATGGTAAACATTAGTGGTAGGCAGTGGCGTAGCTAGGGTGGGGCAAGGCGGGGCATCTGTCCCCGGGCCCAGCATCCAAGGGGCGCCAAATTAATGCTACGAAATTTTTTAATGAAATATTTTCCATTTCTGGCATACTGAAAGGGGCGCAAATTCTTCAGTTGTTCCCGGGCGCTAGAAACTCTAGCTACGCCCCTGGTGGTAGGTGGAGAGGGGTGGAAGAGTCTTGGACGTCCCTCCCCGAGTGTTCTCATATTTAGCAATATCTAAATCACAGTAGTAATGCGGAAGTGTTGGCCTAGTTTCAAGTGTATCTGCCTTATACTCTAGACTGCTTTAATCGGACTGTCCTAGCAACCGCACCGACACAGAGATAATGTCTTAATAGTGCATCGCTTTTCTAGTGGAGCAGCTTATATTGTTAAGTTAATAAATGAAAAGTTCCAGCTCACCCAAGCTTCCGTAAAAGCCTGTTCAATGATTTTTTGTTCCGTCTGGCTTCTTAGCCAAAAGTATCACGACCAAAATAAAATATCCAAAATGAAAAATATTTATTAAGACGTCGACCACAAACTGCATCCGCTATACAAACTGAAATTAACAGAAACAAAATTTCCACTAGCTTGCAGACTAAATAACAACTTCTTAGCAGAGATCTAAATTAAAGTGCAGGTAATTCATAACATCAGCTAATTACTAGCGAAGAATCGCAGCAAGCAACTCTTTGCCGGCAAGCTAATGCAACAACAGAAATACACATTAAAAGAAAACAGTTCAGTTTAAGCTGCCGAAAACTTTGGAACTCGAAGCTGGTGTATACGTTAGACTGTTTATTTACATTCTGATGGAAAGTGGCGAAAATAAGATAACCGTCATAAATTAATAAGCTAAATGGTTAGTTAAAATAAAACCTCATGAGTTCTTTCTAAAAGAGCTGTTCTAGGATGAATGCAATGGCTCTTTAGGTTTAGAGGCTATGGCGGGATGGTTCCCGGTGAATGAAAATCTTCACTGAAGTACTTAAAAAAAAAAGGGGGGGAGGGGGTAAGTAGAACTTGGTGTGGGTTTTGAAGTTAGTAAGAATTTCTTAAATTCACCGTTAAATAGATTCTTAAATAAAAACAGAATTAAATTAATTCAGTTTCTTAATTAAACACAGTTTGGAATTCACGGGATATCATTTATTTAGGTTTATGGTCGAGGGAAGAGATGAAATTTGTTACTTATAGGTATATTATTTCCAGTATTTTTGCAAAGACCAGAGAATAAACGAAATTTCCTAATTTAATTCAAAAATTTTCAACTGTGTTTTTTCCCTTTTTATCCTTTTCAGGTATGCTTTACTTCGCATCACACCTACTACAGAACACCAGCTTCAATATTTACTCAAGCTGAACGCAAACGCATCCAATGGAGTAAGTAAAGTTTTCCGTGCTCTTCAAGTTTGCTCCTCTAAACTAGCCCTTGATGAAGAACTAAATTATTTAAAAGCAATAGCTATTGACAGGGGCTTTCCACCCAACATTATTAATCAAGCAGTTAAAAAAATTCTCATCTCAACACACTAAAAGGCACACTCTTGTTTTAGGAGATTATAAAAATTCTGTTGTTATTCCCTTCTTTCCATCAATTACCTATAAAGTTGCAAATATTTTGCAGAAATTTAACTTTCGGGTCGTTTATTCTCCCATCAATAAAATTCCGAGTTCTATACTCAAGGACCCCATTCCGGATATGAATTCCTGGGGTATTATAGGATTCCTTGCCAGTGTGGTTTAATTTACATTGGCCAAACTAAGAGAGCCTTAAAATTTCGCGTCAAGGAACATGAGGCATATGTTAGAAAAAAGGAAGGAAACACAGAAGTCTTCTGTTGCTCAACATTGTTGGTCCGAAAACCACACTTTCAATTTTTCTGCTGCCAAAATTATTCAAAAAACATCTTCCATTGGAGAACTGGATTTTCTAGAGGCATTTCACATTCAAAAAAATCTTTCTGTTCTAGTTAACGATCCTAATTCCAATCCATCTTAGCCTTCGGCCTTTAATGAAATTGTGTTTTAGTTCTGGTTCACCAACAGATAGCGCCACTTGCTTATTCTTGTCTAGGCTTTCTTATCTTATCTAATCATTATTTCCTATCTTGTTCATTTGCGGTTTTGCAGCTGAGGATGGTGGTTCGGTAAAACCATCGAAACTAGTCCTGTGAAAATTTTGTAAATATAACGCTGATTTTTGTTGTTTAACTTCTGAATTAAGTAAAGACTATTTAAAAGTTCATTCGAATAATAATAATCATAATTAGTTTTTATCTGTATCTAGAAAAACATTTTGCATACATCTTTCCAAAATCCTGTTGATGTAAATGGGCTAAAAATAAAAATTTTAGTTTGCTCCAAATAGTCCTTTTAGTGTCCAGGAGCTATATTTTTAGTGAATGTTGTGTTTAGACGTTATAAATATTCAATGGAAATCAAAATTATTCGTGCAGCATCGAATCTTCACGGAAACGCATGCAGATTTTAGATAGTCAATAGGTATTCAAATTATGCTCAAAACCCATTCATGTTTTTCAGATTTTAGATATCCCGACGAAAACCAGATATTAGATTTCAGTTTGATATCATGATAAAGGGTTAAACAGATTCGCTTGTGCTATCTTCTGGATGCTCTTTACCTATCTAATAATTGATTTTTAACATATGCATGCAATACTTCGCAAATATTCGAGCCAAAATAGCAGTAGTGCATAAAGCTTTTGTACTGAATTTCACAATTCCGAAAAAAGTTGAGAAGATTTAATTTTCGTAGAATTTTCTATTCTTTCATGTGAAAGGATCAAATAGGATTCTCAAGCATAAGAAAAGTACAAAGTCAATAAAAACATTGAAATCTTAAGATTTCTATTAGAGGGGAAAATTTTATAAAGTAATTTGATTGGTGTTAAAATTTAGCAAAGAAAACATTGAACAATTCATTTTTACTTTTTGCCGTTATAGGAGCTTCAGTAGCGTTATATAAACACTATGTAAAAAAAACATTGATTTGTTTCACCATCTGAAATACTATGTTATTTAATTAAATTTTAAATATTAGGTACATAAATCGCTAAAATTCTTTGAAATTTTAATATATAAATATTATGCTCTAGCTGTAAAAAGGTGGAAAGGCAACTTTTATTTAAATCTGTATAATCATAGATTTAATTAAAAGAATCTGTATAATTATAGATTTAATTAAAAGATTGTAAAGTAAATAATTCGAAGAAACAAGGTAAATAATTTTAGAAAAATATCTTGCAAATATTAGCTATATGAATCGCTAAAATTCTTTGAAAATTTTAATATATAAACATTACGCTGTAGCTGTAAAATGTTAGAAAATCGCATGAATTATGAGTCGAATTATTTGAAGATTTAGGAATTTATCTAGTGACATATATGTATATCATCTAAAGACGTTTTCCCTCTTGATGAAATCAGTCTTTTCTTTCATCTCATGCTTTCAAAATGCCTAGTCTCTAAAGACTGATAAAGGCTCTGACCAAATACTGATGAAGTTGATTGAATTGGATTGTTAAGTTACGGCAAATCAGGGCTATCTGCCTAAAAAAGTAGAGATGCCTTCGTGAAAAACTTTCTAAGGGAAACCAGCTCGTATACACGTTACACATGAGAAAAACCACGAAAAGTCCCTGCAATCAGCCCGTTCGCCGGGATTCGAGCCCCAGAGCGAACTACCAGTGTTCATCGACTTTACCGCTCGGCCGTTTGTGGGCTCTTTTGAAATGGAAGGCGATAACTTTAACTAAAATTAATGTCAGAAATACCAAGATGTTTCGAAAAGTTGGATGCTTTTTAATATAATTGCAGAATGCCTAAAAAAGAAAGAATAAATAGAAGAAAATAAGGAAGAAAAAATTAATTTTTGCATAAAATTTAGCATTTTTTAAAATGTTATGATATTTGTTTCTTGCGTTTCCAAAAATAAAATATTTGACTAAAATATGAATAACATTTTAAGAAATTATTAAATGTAGGATGATAAAATTGTGTAAAGCAATGGGTGCAATGATAAAGCTCTTTAAAGCAATGTACGCAAGTCATCCTAAATTAAAATGTCGAATATACATTTCTCTATATATTTCTTCAGAACGGAACATTAAAAGGCGTGTTAACTGTGCTTCACTGTATTTTCTCTTTTAATATATGGAGTTTTCGAACGTATCGTAGTCTGAGTCACAAAGTAGTCTTCCGAAAGAAACGCGATTCAAATAAATAAAATCAAATTCTGGAAAATTTATGTTAATGAATATATTTAAAATGCGCAGTTCGAATCAATAAATAGAAAATTTTAAAACAATTATCTGAAAAGACAACGCAACACAAAAAATTAAAATAAAAGTCTAAAAATTCAATAATTACCTAAAATAATAACTATGACTAAGAAATATAGTATAACGAAAACTATTTGAAAAATAATAATAAACGATACACCTTTTATGTAAACTACGCAGTTCGAATGAGTAAATAGAAATTTTTAAAACAGTTATTTGAAAGAAACCATGCAACTTAAATAATTAAAATGAAATTCGAAAAGAAAAAATATTTAAAATAATAAGATAAAATTATAATATAAAGAACGTTATTTGAAAGAAAGAACGAAGTGTCTTTTTTTTTCGTCTCACGCACAATGTAGAAAGAAAAATAGGTTTCCATATATTAAGAAGTTCGCCAAGTGAAGTATTCTTGGCGCAAACTGAAAAAAAAAAGCACAAATATAAATTTCTGAATTTCTTCGTAAATTTCGCACCAAATTTTACAAACTTTAGTATGTAAGCATAATTTGAGTCGTAGAATCAAAATATGGAAAATAATTGGTACGTTATTTCAGAAAAAGTCCGATTTTGTGTCAAAATATCTATGTTAGAATAGTGCTATATATAAATCTAATATATATCCTAAGTCGCGCTTTCGAGACATGAAAAACGCAATTTGAATTTTATCAATCGGTCCAGTAGAACGGGAGATATAAAAACTGCCTTTCCCCTCTCCCCCCTCCCGCACAGTGTACCTCAAATAAGAAGGTATTAGCCCCTTACACTACAGAATTTCATTATGAAAGTTTTGATTTCATGCGCACCGGTTCAGTTTTCTTACAATTTACATTTGAATAAAGTGTGTATAGCGGATCTAGAGATTTTTAAAGCAAATTATGTCTGGCCATGTAATATTAATGGTTCCCAGATGGGTAGAGGTGCAAATTCTTGTCACGTTCGTGTCATCAATGAAGCAATTCCTGGCAGTGGCATGTTTGCCACAGTCCTGTAGCTCCATCTGTTACGAAAGTCGGGAAGTGCGGAGCTTAGTGTTACCACCGAAAACGGTTGTAACGGCTTTCAGTTGAAAGAGTCTTGGTGTCCTTGAAGATGATAGATGTTCTTGGAGGTCAAACTGCGGTCTGCTGTGCGGAAATCAAACATGGTACCGCAGCCAAAAACGCGCTACGACTTATGCTACCGATATTACGATATCTTTCCTGATGCGAGTGCTGATTAGCTATCAAAGTCACGGCATTCATCATCATGGACGTAATACGAACACGCATCTCTGTCCGCCTATAGAAAAATGGCATCACAAGCATCAAGGCGTCGCGTCCCGCAATGCAAAAAAAGAGCCCTACTAGGTAGAGAAATACATTGAGACTGCAAATATATCAACGCACAGGGCTTGCAAACCATGCCCACTGCAGCGTTCGCAAGCCCTATCACGTTAAAAGTGGTGTTAAGGGACTGTTTAGGCATTTTGAATAGCTAGTCAACACTCGCCCCAGAAAACAGATGCCTATATCGACAACTTAAGCCGAAGCCCGCTTTTGTTTTGTATGATAATTTGTTTCTACACAGCAGACTTCAGTTCTACCCTAGAAAAAACATTTACCCTCTTCAGGGACGCTTAGCCACTCGCGGCGACGTATTTCCCATTCTTGCTTAGAGATAATACCAAGAGACAGAGACAGCTAAGCTAAGTAACGCTGGCATCCACCACAGCGTAAGTAGCGTTTAGCCCTAGCATTGTTTATGCTTCACGCATACGCAACAGGCATATTTTCAGCATGGTAACCTTCGTCGCTTGGCCAAAGAACATCTATGCACGTTTGGCTTGGCGATGAATTTACAATTCAGACTTCAGCGATGCGTAAGTGAAGTGACGCGGAATGTGTGAAATTTGTTTACTTTGTGCCCAATTATGCGAGCAGTTATTTACTGGGGACTTAGAAAACGCGTATGGGGAAATAGACTTTATTCTTTTTTCACTCGTGTTGATGTTTATGAACTGCTTAAATTAATGCTGTAGGTTTTTGTAACGTGTAATAATCAATTAACTTAACCGTATTTTACATTTATTTCCAAATGTATTTTTGTTTGATATTTCATCTTATATTTACTGTTATCATAAAATTTCTTGGGCCCACCAGCGGCCGAGCGGTAAAGTCGCTGAACACTGGTAGTTCGGTCCGAGGTTCGAATCCCGCGAACGGGCTGGCTGCATGGGTGTTTTCGTGGTTTTCCCCATGTGTAACGTGTATACGAGCCAGTTTCCCTTAGAAAGTCCTCCACGAAGGCGTCCCTCCCATTAGGCAGATAGCCCCAGTGTGCTTTGCCATAATTAAATACACACACATAAAATTTCTTTTCAAATTCAAGCTTTCTACAAAGGCATGTCACATCCTAGGCAAATCATTCTTGAGAGCTTAACATAATCACTTAATTTAACTCATTTTACAAATTCGTTTTTTTATTTCATATTTATAGTCATCATAAAAGTTCATCTTTTAACAGGCATTCAGCAAAACAACATACTTTGATTCTTTCTTTTCGTATTCTTGATTACATTACCTTACCTTAGTGGTAATCCAAAAGATAATCGAAAATAAGTCTTCAAACATTCCAAACATACAAAATTACCTTTTATACTAATCACGCTAAATATAAAAAATCAGTAACTGCTTAACTTCTTCAACGCTTCAAGATTCTTATTCAAGCTTAACTTCTGCAACGTGAGAAAATTTAGCAGAATAACAACATGTCTTTAACTGCCAATCTCATGATACATCGTCAGTTCTGTATAACGCCAACGAAACTTGTCATTGCGCATGCGTGAAGCATAAACCATACTAGGGCTAGACGCTACACCACAGCGTATGTGTTAGACACTGTACTTAAAACCACTAGTAACATTCAGAAAGAGAGGGCCCATGAATTTTCCATGATGTAACTTCGAGTTTCTGAAAATAGGGTAGAGAGTTTTATGAAAACGGCTTCAGGTCTCTGGGTGAGAATATTCTGCAAATTAAAAGTATAACTTTTTACAAGGTCATTGTGCCTAAAAAAATTTGAGTAAAATTCATGATATTTAAATTTAGAACTGAGGTGAATTATTCTGTATTTTAGGTTTATTATCAATCTAAATTAAAAGCACTTTTTGAATAAATATGGGGAGCAAGCACGAAACAGAAGTTGCTAGTTTAGAGAATAGTGGCTGCGAATTAAGTAAATTAAGCTTTAAGTAAATCTGTTAATATAGTTATTCATTTCATAGCTGACAGCGGCCGAACGGTAAAGTCGCTGAACACTGGTAGTTCGGTCCGAGGTTCGAATCCCGCGAACGGGCTGGCTGCATGGGTGTTTTCGTAGTTTTCCCCATGTGTAACGTATATGCGAGCCAGTTTCCCTTAGAAAGTCCTCCACGAAGGCATCCCTCCCCTTAGGCAGATAGCCTAGTGTGCTTTGCCATAATTAAATACACCACTACACCACCATCTCATAACTGAACCCTTGAAAATATTAACTGAGTATATCTCTGCAGATTGTGGTAAGGATCATGTAATCTTTTGAAGCTTACAACAAATTTTCATTAGCTGGTTTTTGGTGCATTGCGGATCTTATAAAAGTTATGTTTAATTATTTAAAAAAACAAACCAGGGACAATGATAAAGCTGTTTTCATCAAATTTTCGACTGCATTTTGAAAACTGTTGTTAGTGAAGGTATTTTCTACGATACGTTGTTATTGAAGGTATTTTTCTACGATACTACCTGTTTGAAGCCATATTTTCGAACTCTGTTTAAGGATAGGGAAAAGCTTTTAATACCTGATTGAAATTATCTAAACGCCACGTTCACAAACAAGTTCCATATCAATTGTATAAGATGATTGTGTAAGACATAGACTACTGCAGATAATTTGCTTTAAATGCTTATTTACTTTTTTTCCCCCTCTGGCAACAGCTGGACTTTTGGTTGCGATCTACGGCAGTCAACAACTCAGCGGATGTTATGGTAACACCTGAAGCCAAGAGAAGACTGTGCCGGAGCTTAAACAATATTCGAATACCTTACAAAGTCCTCATACAAGATTTGGGAAGGTTAGAATTTTCATTTTAGCGTTTCAATCTTCACCATTTTTGTTTTATGAAAGATCATGTTTTACAAAGAGCTCATAAGACATCACATAGCCCAGATTCTACATAATTGTAGTTTGTATGTAATTGGTTAAAATAAATGCTCGTAGGAACTAAAAGCGCAAACCTCTCTCTCAAAAAAAAAAAAAAAAAAAAAAAATTATTAAGATTTTGACCTACACACATTTTGTGACGCTGTGTCTTCACTCATACATTTACTTTACAATAGACGTGCTATTCGTTCTCAAACTCATTCAAAGAAAGGATTCACTTTTCCGAGTGACTGAACGCTAATTTCTCAGAAAAGAGAGATAATTTTTGGTACTTACGAAAAATCCCGTCGACCACAAGAGACGGCGCCAATCGCGCCAAACCAAAAAAAAAAAAAAAAATTACTAAATACAAGAAAAAAACGTTCTATTCTTACTTTTCTTTCAAACTGATTATATTATCATTTATTTATATTTAATTTTTCATTAAAAATTTCCATCTTTTTTATTAAGGAGATATACTGTAAAAGCAATTATTTTCGCTAGGTTTTAATTTTCGCGAGAAAACATAAGTCTCGCGAAATATTTTTTTTTTTTTCGCTATTCAACAGCATGCTCTTCTGTAGTAGGCAGGTCCTAAATTTTAATCTTTTTTTTTTTTTTTTTTTTTTTCGAAAATGCGTGATGGAAGAGGAGGGAAGGAGTCTTTACTCAAGAATAATAACTAACACGTGTAACCAACCCCAGCATGTTTGAAGACTTTTCCATTTTTGGCGAAAAATCGCGTAGTTTGGCGTCTTTACTTTAATAGGCAAGAATGGTCGGCGGGATTTTCTGCAAGTACCGAATTTTTTTCAGTTCACCCACCGAGAGATTTTGTTGAAACAGTACCAGGTTCCTACTTTAGGAGTTCGATTCCTATTTTAGGAGAGAAGAGAATTTAATTTTATTCATTTCCGCAATTTTTTAACATTCTTTTATACTAGAATTTTACTGTTAGTTCTATGTAGTTTGTGTAGTAGTATGTAATTTGCATGTAGTTTGAGTTCCAGTAGTATGTTCTACGATGTTTTAAAGAATCTCAAAAGTACAATTGAAAGAAATGAGTTCAGGGAATTAACGATTCGAGCCAGTCGATTCTCCCGATTCCACTACTCAATCGATTTTTCCGCTCTTCACTCCTTGATCACCGATCTTTGTTCACTTACGATGTTATTCATTAAGTTTACTGTTAGTGAGCGGTGACTCATAAAAAGAAGCGATTCAGTTCAGTGAGAAAACGTTTCTAATTTCATCCCATAAAAGAGCTGTTTTGCCAACTTCTATTTTACGGAACTTTGTTGCTGAGAGAAATCGGTGAGGTAACGAAATTTTAAACTTCTTGTAAAAAATTGTGTGCTTCTTCCAAAATTTAAAACTTCTAATAAAAAATTGCGTGTTTCTTCAAAAATTTAAAACTTGTAAAAAATTGCGTGTTTCTTCAAAATTTTCAAACTTCTTGTAAAAAATTGCTTGTTTCTTCGAAAATTTAAAATTTCTTGTAAAAAATTGTGTGTTTCTTCAAAAATTTAAAACTTCTTGTTCACTGAATGTTGTTTCATACGGCTATACGGAAACTTTAGTTCGGATGTAACAAATGAAGGTATGAAAATTAAATGTAACAAAGTCTACGGATATCATCGATTAAAATTTGGCTTTTTGTTTTTCATATTTTTTCTGAAATTTCTGTAAGCTTTAATGAAAAAATTGCTGACTTTTAAACTTAACATAATTTTAACTTTTAACCATAAACAAGGATTAAGAATATTAAATACAAAACTGTAACCTTTCAAAATTAAGTCCTGAATGTGTTATTTTGAAACTGTGTCATAAACTTTAATGGTTTTCAGAGTTCAATAGACACGAGAACAAAACAATTAAATACAATTCAGTATTAGAATCTTAGTATAGATAATCACCGATCGTTATTTATCTGAATCACTAATCAATGGAACGCATATCCTTACTAACCCTTAGCTAATATTTTGATATGAGGCGTGTATTTGGTCACTTTCAGCTTCCCTTCGGCTTCTGAATACACTGAGTGCCGCCTGAGATAATCACTGACCTGACTTTGTCGTAAAAGTCTTAGTGTTAATGTAGTCATCCTGGCAGAAGGGAATATTTCTTCGGTATAAAAATATAAATATAAATATTACATGGGCATACAAAAGGTCTGTGTATAAGCATTGATATGGTAATTACAAACATTGTCTTGTACAAGTTACATGTGATAGTTACATAAAATCATGACAGCTATGTGTACATTTAAACATTATCTGAATTCATATTTACAATACTTTTACTGAGATAATCAAAGTAAACTTGTAATTCATTTACACATTGACTGGATTTTCAATGTCATTTTAAACAGCTTTACAATATTATTTTTATCAAGTACATACAAACTGGATAGTAAGATGCTTACATTACAATAGTTTTGCTCTTACAGGTTTGTTACTATTCTACGGGGTGAGCTATTTTTCTAGTCTTAATTTTCTAGTCTTAATGCTATTAAAATTATGCTGCAAAGATGCAATTCTCAAGCGAGGGGGGAGAATTTCTTAGTACCTTGCTGAGCATAGCCTGATCACCTCCTCTATCTTAGAATTCGTCTGCTTGTTGCCGCAGGTATTCTCCGCCCATTGCGGCCAGTATTCACTGCTTGGCATTTTTAAATGCAGTTTATCGTTTTGTTGATAGTTGAAGAGGTAGAGATCTGCATCACCTACCGCACCACTTTCACACAATTCTGATGCTCGTTTGCAAATCTCTTAAGATAATGTGAGAAGGGACCATGGCCAGTGTATAGTTGAGTTTGTGCTCCACTGTACGTATGTATAAATTGAGCATGTAACTTTCAGAAACAACTTGTAGGTTCTCCTCCCTGTGCTTTCCATTTTCCATCTTTTCTGCCATTCTTGTAAAAGGCTATAGAGCGTGATTTTTTTAAATAGGACTGCGGAACACGTACTGCGTTTTCCAATCTACTGAAGTCATTGGCTGCAGATTTCTCAAGCACGTCTGCCGCTTCGTTGCCAGTAATACCCACATGAGCTGAAACCCAGATCAGGATGAGTCTGTTATCTGGTGGGATACTTAGAATTTTCTGAATACACTAGTATACTTACACCGGTGCGTCGGTGAATATTTTTTTTTTTTTTTTTTTTTTTTTTTTTAGCATTGAGTTTAATGAATAAAAAAAATGTTGTTATGTGCAATTTGACTAAAGAAATCAAAAGCAGAGAAAACGCAAACCTCTCCACTTAACAAACTGAGGTATGATTAAAATTTTGTTTTCATAAATGTGTGAGTTTTCTACCCACAGCCTTTCATCACCTCACATGCTAACATTATGAGCAGCCATAAAAATGTGCTAATTCGCACAATACTTTTAGACGAAGTTCCTGCCTCGGCCATTGCCGGAAAAGTTTTCCAAAATAAAATCATCCGTACTACAGTTAACTCTTCCTGGTACGTGAGAAAATTCCAGATACATACCGAACCAAAAATTCGAATTCTTCCGGATCGCATTCTCACTATAGCGTACGACTTCTTCAGTAAAATGAAGAACTTCCAATACTCTGCAATTACAAGATTTATTGACTATGATCTTACAATCGAAAATACGGTCAAAAAAGACTGACAAATATTCACCATAATGCTCATTAGGAATGTTTTACATACCCTATTTTTCATTCTACTCATCAACCAATTTATTCTAGATAGCATTTTTTCAACATTTCTCATACTATTATGTACACGAGATCTTCACGCGGACTTAACAGCACAGTAGAAGAGCAGTTCTCTGGAAACTTCAAGTTAAGGAGTTCTACTTGATTCCAAAAACTCTGAGTTTTAGCTATTGTTTTGTAAATATTTTAAAATTATATCTATGTGATGTTGTAAACATTTTTGCATTGAAATGCATCCTCAAGTGAGTACCACCAAAATTCACTTTCATGCCAACAGAAAGCGGCACTAGCAATCTCAAAATCTCATCCTGTGCATTACATTCCGTGACTTTGACACTCTTACGACATTCTCTTGTCGTCCATTTCGAAGACTGTGCGATTATACCTAATTTCTTTAAATACCGTAAAAGACCCTAGGGTAGCATTATGATGAACTGGTAAATACATCCTAATGCACAGTCTGTCTATCATAAGAAAAGCTCTCGCCAGTTAGTCTGCAGCTGTCTGTTGCTGTAGAAACGACCCTTGACCCATTTTCCGAAGGGGTGTCTTCAAAATTTACTTTTCAGTTTGCCATCTTGGCGCATTTAAATATGAGCTGGCAACCCTTGGTTCGTCCCTATTTAAAATATACTAGCCCTGTTGCTATTGCAACCCCCACCTGCGAGACACAATAGCAGGAGCTGTTCCAAAGAACGTCTATGTAAAGAAGGAAAGGCTCCATAGACGTAATGTAAACCAGTTTGTCTGCTACGCCGCTAAAAAGAAGAGAGAAATTCGCCAAGGGATTTGGCGACGGAACCTGTTGGCGAGAATTTCCCCCTTTGTGATGTACTGGACCTGGCCGAGATTTTCCTCCTCCGTCACGTGTACAGGAAATTGAGGAACACGGATTAAGATGAATAAGAAAATTAAGTGAAGTTTCACTTTCACTGGCTGTTGAACTTCCATTATCCATATTGCAGTTTGATGTCTGATTTTATATCCGTCAATATGGAGGGGAAAAATGGAGTCACAGAGCTTTAAACTCTTGATAAACGTGACCGTCGAACTTGTTCGAACTTCGACATCAGCTTCGAGCTTTGGCGCTTTTTGGCGACAGATATTTTACGCATGCGCACTTGTTTCCCCTTTTCGTTCGAAGGGAGCCACTCCTGCTGCTTGAAGCTTTCCTTCTTAACAATACATATTCTTTGGCTGTTCTTCTCGTAGACAGACAGTTGAAGCCAGTACGAGAAAGAGGTTGCAGTTTAAACTATATTCATAGGGGGGAAAGTTTTATTTAATTTATAACATCAATTCCTACAGCTTTTTAATTGCACTAACAGTATTATTCTTCAGAATGCTATGAACAGTATCTTGTTTTTAAATAATTATTCATCTTTTATGGTTAACAATTTAAAACAAAATGTGCTTCATTTCTACAATAGATTAATCGCAGAAGATCAAGCGGACACTGTAATAGTTCCTCCTGGTCTTGAATTTTTTGCCGATTACAATCCTGTAGATGAAGTAAGTAAACATGTTCTCAGACATACATTTCTTTTTTGTTTACATTTATAAGTTACTGGTAAATTACTTCAAAAATCACCTGCTTCCTAAATGCCTCTGAAGCCAACCTGTATTCCTAATGTGATACCGTTTAATCTTTAAAAATTGCAATGCGATTAGCTGCATTGTGGCTGAAAAGAAAAAAGTTTTTCTGCGTGAAGCATAAATTTTATCGGAGGTGTTAAAGCAACAAGAATCGGCGTAAAACTCGTCTAAGTTGCAGGACTAGTTTCGAAGGTTTAAATACAAGAACTTTTTCTGCAACTGCAGAGCTACAAATTATTTAAGAGAAGCCTGTGCTCAGGCGATAACAATGACAGGGAGGAAGGTCAAACCACTTGCGCCATCTGTTAAAGAAAGATTAAAACAACTACGAAATAATATCCTTAAAACCTGAGGGTAAAGACAGAGTAGAACTGGGATCGTAATTCGCCAATGGAAGACGTTTTTTGACTAATTTTACTTGCTGAAAAATGGAAATATAACTTTATAGCCAGCAGTGTTGAACAACATAAGATTTATGTGTTTTTATATTCCTAACATGTTTCATGCCCCTTAGCGTGAAATTTTTACGCTCTCTTAGTTTGACTAATGTAAATTAAACTCCAAGGAGTTCTGTATAAACCCCAGAAGTTCATATCCGGAATGAGGTTTTTAAGCATAAAACTGCGAATTTTATTGAGGGAAAAAAAAAAAAAAAAAGGAAAGCAAAATCTCTGTCAAATACGTGCAATTTTACAGCTAATCGATGAAAAGAAAAGAATGATATCAGAATTCTTATAATCTACAGTCTGGCAAGAAAGTCTCTTTACACCTGAATTAAATGCATGTAACAGTGTAAGATGGTAAGATATTTAAGATTTGAATCTCACACCCTGGTCACTGATACAGCAATAGTGCGTATCACGTGAATTTCCGTGTAATTACCGCGTCCAACAAGTCATCAGACTTAGATCATGTGGGAGAAGAAAGCTTTCGGGCAAGGATGATTGAAGAACACACCTTTGGTTCATACTTCTTTTGAGGGTTTCGGGATCTAGGTTACTTATTTGGAAATGCTGAAGGTCTGGCTCCTTCCACAGCTGCAGAATTTTGGGCATAAACTACACGATTACTAATTCAGAAGTCAAACAACAAAAATCAGCGTTAATTTACAAAATTTTCACAGGACTAGTTTCGATGGTTTTACCGAACCATATCTTCAGCTGCAAAACCGCAAATGAACAAGATAGGAAATAATTTTTATATAAGATAAGAAAGCCTGGACAAGAATAAGCAAGTGGCGCCATCTGTTGGCGAAACCAGAACTAAAACATAATTTCTCTAAAAGCCGAAGGCAAATTTGGATTGGAATTAGGATCGTTAACTAGAACAGAAAGATTTTTATGAATGTGAAATGCCTCTAGAAAATCCAGTTCTCCAATGGAAGATGTTTTTTGAATAATTTTGGCAGCAGAAAAAAATTGAAAGTGTGATTTTCGGACCAACAATGTTGAGCAACAGAAGACTTCTGTGTTTCCTTTTTTCTAACATATGCCTCATGTTCTTTGACGCGAAATTTTAAGGCTCTCTTAGTTTGGCCAATGTAAATTAAACCGCACTGGCAAGGAATCCTATAAATACCCCAGGAATTCATATCCGGAATGGGGTCCTTGAGTATAGAAGTTGGAATTTTATTGATGGGAGAAAAAACAACCCGAAAGTTAAATTTCTGCAAAATATGTGCAACTTTATAGCTAATTGATGGAAAGAAGGGAATGACAACAGAATTTTTTATAATCTCCTAAAATAAGAGTGTGGCTTTTAGTGTGTTGTTGAGATGAGAATTTTTTAACTGCTTGATTAATAATGTTGGGTGAAAAGCCCCTGTCAATAGCTATTGCTTTTAAATAATTTAGTTCTTCATCAAGGGCTAGTTTGGAGGAGCAAACTTGAAGAGCACGGAAAACATAGGAATAAAATGAAGCTAACTTTTGTTTAGTCGGATGACATGATTTAAAGTGTGGTGGAAGGCAAACCGATGAAGGTTTACGGTAAACTGTAGTACTGAAGTTGGATGTGTTACGTGTGACCAGAATGTCGAGAAACGGAAGAGAATTGCAAGTCTCAAGTTCAAAAGTGAACTGAATAGCAGGATCAATAGAATTCATTGTTGAAAGAACTCTTATTTAAATCATCTTTATTACCTTCAAACAGGGTAAAAGTATCGTCTACGTAGCGGAACCATGCCGGGAAGTTTAAAGTTTCAAACAATTTTGATTCATAATAATGCATGTAGATATCAGCCAGGATGGGACTGAGGGGGCTTCCCATGGCTAATCCCTCAGTTTGCTTGTAATATTTATTTTGGAAAACAAAATGTGTTTGTTTCAAACAGAGTTGAGTGAGAGAAATTAGCTCATCAATTTCGATGCAAGAGAAATGAAATTCGCGAAGTCTGGTTTCTAGACATCTTAATGCACCCTCCACTGGGACATTGGTGAATAATGATTTTACATCAAAAGAAACCATGAGTAAATTACTAGGAGAAATGTTTTTAACCTTTTTTACAAACTCTATTGAATTTTTTATGGTGTAAATGTTATTGTCTAATAGAGTGGAAAATCTAGAAACTAAATATTTAGCTAATGGATACGAGGCAGTACCTAAATTTGATACAATAGGGCGGAAAGGAATACCACTTTTATGAATTTTGGGAAGAGCATATAATCTGGCACAATTCGCAACAGATGGGATAAGCGAATGTTTTAAGTTGCTTGAAATGATTTGCGAAGATTTGATCGCAGTTTTTATTTTGGATAAGTCCGAAGGTGAAGGATCTTTAGGGATCGGATTATATGGTCCTTCGTTTAAGAGTTTAGTGACACCATCGATGTAAGTGTTCTTATCCATGACGACTATCTGGCCACCTTTGTCGGCCTTTGAAATGATAATATCCGGGTTAGAATGAATCTCGCGCATTGTAGCTCTTTCTCTCGCAGTTAGATTTGGTTTCAAAGGTTTATTATTGAATTTCACATTATGAGCGATAAGATGCCTAATCATTTCTTTCTGTGAATCTGAAACTTTACTGAACTTGAAAGCTTTTTTCGATAGGAGCCAAAATCTTTGGAATCGAGGGTTTACAGGTTTGTGAGAAGTTAAAATTATATTTTAGAATTCTCTCTTGTTCTTCTGAAAGACTAACATTAGAAATATTAACTATTGGCTTGATGTTTACAATGGGAAGATTTTTTGAACTACTTGAACTGGAAGACTGTAAAAGAAGTTTTTCGAATTTAACTGCAAGGGTGTTTTTATGACGGTTAACTGCATTCTCCGTTCTAGACCAAGACTTTTGTTCAAGGGCAGTGAATTTTGGATATGTTTTAGCGAGTTCCAGATGAAGCTTATAGAGTTCATGTTCAATTTTGGACAATTGTTGACGTGTATCCCTTATCACGGACCGAAGTAAGGCAAGCTTGCAATTTAACAGAATTCTTGAAACGCGACTCGAAGGTTTTTGATTAGATTTGATTTGAATAAAATTGGGGATCAATTTTTTACATTTACATTTAAGTAAAAAGTCAAGATGATTCAGGAATTTTTGCCGTTTCAGGCGTAATTTAGTGAAACGATTAACGGATGAAGGCATGATAAACAATGCAGAAAATCAAACTAAATTAACTGAGCAATAATAAAGTACACACAAAATAGCAGAAAAATATCTCACTGAAATGAATAGAAAACAAAATGTTTGTAAGCAAAATGCATTTTTGTTGTTTGACATCTGAATTAGTATTTATTCGGCGTGTTATTGTGTCTTAACTACACGATTGTTTAGCAACGCGATGAAGCTTCCACTTCGCACTTGCGGTTCGTAAATGCCTGAATGAACTATTCCTTGGCCGGTGGATAGGACGTACGTACGTCCCTTAATTAACCCAAACAAAATTTTAACTTTTAAATTAATATCTTTTTAAGCATAAAGAATTCTTTTGAAGAAAATTTCTCAAATATTTCGAAGTGAATCGATCTTATAGATAATGTATTCTAGGAGGAAAGAGAAGGACTTTTAGATGGAATTCAGGTAGACACTTTCCTTTCGAGTTTATCATTCAGAATTATTAAAATATATTGTTATGAATTTTGTATCTAAGTAAATAATTTTAGTATTTGTTTGGACAATGTAACATGAAAATCTAAAGAGGGGATTCTTTGCCGGAAAAGCAAGAATACAGGGTTAAGTCTATTTAACATTGAGTAAATTTCTGTCTTGCTAGATTGGCAAAATATTGCCAAGCTGGCGGCTGTTTTGATGACTAATTTTTGTGCAAATTTGGCAAGAAATCGCCAAACATGGCGAAAATCTGGCGATATTTGGGTAAGGCCCCTGTATCACTGAAGTCTAAAGATTTCTCGGCGGCCGGGAGAAGACTATAATAAGACAGAGGAGAACTTTAGTTTTTGAGGAGTAGTAGTTAGTTCAGAAGTGAATTCGGAGTATTGACATATCCGTGTTAGGTTCGCTTTTTAGATGCGCTTTGCATTGTGTTGTGTTTAACATTCTTAGTAATTTGAAGTAGTAAGTCCTGATTGTGCTCTGTGATAGTGAGAAGATTCGTATTGCCGCTCAAACGGTACAGTGGTTAGGGGAGCCTACTGCGATATCGAAGGGATCGAGTTCGAATCCCGGAGAAGGCATGGCTGTTTGTGAATGCATAATATTTTTTCGGCATGAGAGCGCTCTAAATACATGACGAACCGAAAATCTTCTTGAGAGGGTGCTAGTAGGGAAAAAGGGATGGGAGACCTTCGAACTCACCCCCCCCCGGGATGCTGTCCATCAAAATTGGGGCGGAACTGAACGAAGTCGTACTGTCGAATCTCTAGCCAACAACACAACTGGCGCAATCTTGCTGTTCTTACCACGATGGATTTCGTGGACTTGTTCTGATGTTACTGCCGGACAAGTGAGATAAATCACAACAACAACACAGAGCTGTACTAGTATTTTTGTGAAAAGCTAAAGAACTGTGAAGTGTTTCTTTCGATAAAATAAATTTTATCAAGCTTTCATCTGTTCTGTGTAAACACACGCAACAATAGGATTTCTAAGTGTAATCAATTTTAAATAAGATGTGGAACACGAATTATATATGATATTTGTTGCTCTTTTTAATCCAAAAGGACTATTGTTTTCGTTTTGCGATTTTGCGTTTAATCACTATAAATGTTTGTTTCACTTTTCAAACTGTTGCCACCAATGTTAGAGTCCTGCATTATATCTGAAGAAATTAAACAATGAAACATCTGCATAAATGTATGTATATTTCTCGCATTGTGATAAAACAACGGTACCAAGTAGAGCGAGCCATCGAATTTTGAATGACGTAATCCTCCTACGAATATGGGCATGTGGAAGACCAAATTTGAAATTTGGAATTTGTTTTTATGATCGATTTCATATTTTCTAAAACTTTAACGAATTTTTGAGAAAAACTCAACGATTTAAAAGCGAGCAATGGCAACGCTCTGCGGTGAAAAAAAGACCTTTTTATCTCCAGCGCGCGGAACTGTGTATCGGAAATTCTAAAGATAGGCTCATTTTAAAATTATTTTGGGACATTGCTATTGAACTGAATTTTATGGTTTAAGTGCAAAGAACATGATATTTAATAAATAAAGGTAACACACAAAACGTTAAAAAACTGCCCTCTGGACGTAATTTAAAATCTGAAACCTTTCAGATTTATTTTTTTAAAATTACTAGTGTGTCATATCATTTGTAAGAAAAACGCATGCAGTCTTTAAAATTTTCTAACATGGTATTGTTTCATTTCTTTCTAACATTTAAAATTTTCTAACATTAAAAATATTAGCATTAAATTCTTATTTTAATAATCAAGTAACATAAGTAAAAATAAGAATTTAATGCTAAAAATTAAATACAGTTCTTAGTTAGCTATTACGCGGAAATTATGTGTAAAAATGTTCAATTTAAGTTTAAAATGACCTACAGTACTGCCAAATAATTTTGCATTTTAATGGTTTAAGAATATTTATTATTCATTAACAAAATATATATTTAAAAATGCATTATAAATAAAAAATATTTTTTAGCATTAAACTCTTATTTTTATTTACGTATTTTTATTCATTCATTAATTTAGATTAATATATATATGAGAGATTTGGCTTTGAAGTATCCAGACGTCGTTTCTCTCATCGAAATAGGTACATCTTTTGAAGGGAGACCATTGTTCATCTTGCGAGTAAGTTCAATCATTTTAGTTTTATCCGAATTGTTGCATTATTAGTACAGAAATAAAATGCCCCAACCTTTCTGAGTGTGATAATCAATTACGAGTAATAATTAATTAAATACAACAATTACGTAAAATGGGTTAAGAGCTGTGTAGTTACAAACCAAAGCAATGTAACATAAAGTGAATGGTACATTTAGAATAATAACCAAAATATAGTTATAATTTTTCGTTACTAAAATTACCCACGCGGAAGGTGGTGGATAATGTAATAGCTGAAGAAGAGCGCTGCCCAAATTTCTCATCCAAATTCAAAATAAAACTGAGCACGTTGTCATTTTAAGGAACTTCCTCTGTGTGCTTCAGGCTTCCGAGAAGTAGGGTGTATGTAAATTCTTGGAGCGTCGAAAGTCAGACGTGTAACACCTGAGCTAAGTCGCCTTGACATTTAATTAGCTAATTGTATTTGATGCTTAAAAACGGCTGTGCGAATCAATAGCTCTTGAACAGAGAAGAACCATAAATCTGATTTAAGAAATGAATCAAATGAGATCGGCTTTCGCATTGCAACAGTTTTGGGTATATAAAAACTTTGTTAAAATTACGTGAAGTTTACATTTTTATACAAACTTCCCATAAGGCCCACCAGCGGCCGAGCGGTAAAGTCGCTGAACACTGGTAGTTCGGTCCGAGGTTCGAATCCCGCGAACGGGCTGGCTGCATGGGTGTTTTCGTGGTTTTCCCCATGTGTAATGTGTATACGAGCCAGTTTCCCTTAGAAAGTCTTCCACGAAGGCATCCCTCCCCTTAGGCAGATAGCCCTAATGTGCTTTGCCATAATTAAATACACACACACACACACACAAACTTCCCATAAAGAAAGCTCATAATTAATAAGTTGTTCTTTAACCTACTAAAGGTTTTTAAAGAAGCAAATCTCTTCGGACTTTGAAAAATATCGGCCAAAAAACTGTCAAAATTAAAAACATTTCTTTAAAACATTGCCATCATTTAAAAAGAATCGATTTTTACGGGCATATGAAATGGAATTTAACTAAATAATTACGAATTTTAGTTTTCTTTTAATTAGTAATTCAAAAATCAATACTTCTAAATTATTTCCCCCTTGGATGGTATGTTGATTAACGGAAAATAATTAGATACTCCGTTCGACCTGGTTAAAATCCTGGACAAAGCATTAATATTCATGACTGTAATGCTTTTGTAGAATAGTAGCACTTAAAATCTATCGCCTCTAAAGTCCTTTCGAGAAGTGAATGGTAAAAGAAGATCTTACCATTATCTTCTCGAAAAAGGGAGATCTCTGTTAAAACTGGGAAGAAGCTTAGATAGATGTGTTTTACCTAAATTAAATAATTCAGTCAGATCCAAATTAATTTTTTTTTCCTGGTGTAAGAAATATCTTTTAGAAATCTGCAATCAAAAACTTGGTATGCCTAGCTGTTATTAGCAGTGTTTGTTTCCGGTCCCCAAAGACTTTATATAATAACTCGGATAATTTTCATCGGATGAGTTTTCTTATTTTAATTTTCAGCTAGGAAAAACATTTTACTTACGGATATTTTTACCATATTTATCGCGTATAAAAATTTAGGTTTTGAACATTTTTACCAGGCGGTGCAATAAAACTAAAATTTGAACTTCTGAAAGTCTAATTTATTTGTTCCATTTCTGGAGCTGAAACCACGAGACTGTGATCAATTATTCGAGATATTCAGCTGGGTAGTGTTTTTGAAACTTTCGTTTTATACCGCCAGGCCACATCTTTCTTTAATCTCAGGTTTATTTTATAGTGACTGCTGCATTTAAGTGTTTATGTAATTTGATATGAGAAGGGATAAAACAGTCATATTAAAAAACTTAACGTTACAATTTCTAGTTTTATCATATCGTATTGAGCAATATTTGTCATTTTGTTATCGGTTTATTTTAAAGATAATAGCGTCGAAATTTTTGCCCTCGCAAGCTATGCAAGATTCATTTCTGCTCTCGTATTTTCTCCCTTCTTTCGGCATGCCTTCGTGGTGTAATGGTTAGCACACTCGGTACGTATTCTAGAGGTCCAGGTTCGAGTCCGGCGAGGGCATTGCTCATTTTTCATGATTTCTGCTTCCAAATAACCTAATGTCACTACAAAGTCACTGCTTCCAATTTTGCCATAATCTCAGTCGGAGAATATAATCTTAAGTTTTCTCAATTATCTGGAGCCTGTACTTAAAGACGTCAGTTTTTTAGGTATCTGCACAGAACATAACCTCAGATGGAGAAATTAGGATATGCAATGTCACCACATTGAGAAATGAAACATCTTAGAACAATCCTTTCTCGCAAAGATTGATTTGTCTTTTACACTGCAGCTTTATTTTGTTGGACTCACAAAAGCGCATTTCCAATATCATTCATTCTAAGTTATAGAAAGTCTTTACGCACAACCATTAACACGTCACTATGATTACATATTCATTCTTCTAAAAAGTAGTCTATGTCATGGTTGCAATAGAAATTGTCCCTTGAGGTGTTTAAATATTGTATAAATATGTCAGAAAGATCATTCTGTCGGACCCTGTGGCATAATTCCAATGATTGTTTATATAAAACAATATTTATATAGCTTGAAAAAGAGCCAAAATGAGTGACAACACATTATTAGAGACAATGAATTTAAAAAAAAAGTCAGATGATCGTGCTTTAATTTTGCTCTAAAATCTATCTTCTAAAAAATCTTATCTTCTAAAAGTATTTCTTGATGTCCAGGTTTATCACAAGGGAACACTGAATGACAGCAAATAATTAAAAGAAAAAAAAAAATTCAGATGATAAAATGCTTTAGTTTTGCTCAAAAGTATTGTTTTCATTTCCAGGTTTATCACAAGGGAACACTAGGTGTACTATGACCTTCTCATAGATATCTTTAGCTTGTTCCTAGAATCACATCCAAACTGTTGCCTTTATTTCACCTTCTGTCTCATTCCGAGAAAAGAATTTTTTTTTCACAAATTCATCGAAAATATAAAGGGTTTGTGTTACAATTATGAACTGTAAAAGGAACGGATGAGGACTCCCAGTTTCCAAAGGCCTCTGATGGCATCCACTATATAAAAAGAGGCATTATCATAAAGCAACATACCGCATATATAACGCACACCGGCGTATAATGCCCACCTATAATTTCAAACCACATTTTTTAATCTTTAGATAAATTTCTTTAAGATATATTACGAATATATCATAAATATATCTACATTTTTAGATATACACCCTTTCTTTAAGAAGAATTTCGAGAGATACATGTGCGACGCTCTGTATTTTAAAGTCCTTCATTCGAAGATTTTTTCCAGACTTTGGAACCATGGTGTACTGAATTGACAAGTGATAAGCGAAACAATTTGTGTGGGGGGGAGGAGGGTGGAAATGCTTGAGGGAGTAAAGAATTCTGCAAAGTTGGTGGCTGGTATTCAATACAGGTGTGCACAAGAACATTCTTCGACAGCTTCAAGAAAAGGCAGACGTAATTTCGGGTAAGAACGCACTTATGACCCGAATGAATTCACGGAATTAGATGTCAGATGCTTTCTCTGAATAAATTAAAGCACAATAATTAATATGCTTTACCTAAAGGAACTTATCAGATAATTAAAAATTATCCGATATTGAAAATTTTTAAGTTCATAAGCTGTGTCATTTCTTTTAAACAAACAGCAATTTGGCACATGTAGAAATCTAATATCTGTATGCTCTTCTTTTCCTTATTTTTAAATGTATAATTTTGATTATCCGGCGTATAACACGCATCCGTTAATTTCAGTCTTAATTTTTGTATTAAAAGTAAGCTTTATACACGGGAATATACGCTAATTCTGCGAGAATAATATACATGTCATTTGAACTTCATCACCTATCGCAAGGTGCACGATGTTATCCCGTAGGTTTACTCATTTACTCCATTTCATTGCTCCGGGAAATTGATAATTCTGGTATTTAATGACTATCTAAACAACTAATTCGATAAATGCCTGGCATTTGGATTAACTCATGCAATGTCCGTCTCCTCTAGCACTATATGAGGGTGCTTATCATTTTCCATGAGGTCATTGAAGTCATAGCTTTTTTCAGCAGTCGACGTTATTGTCTCTCTGTCAATAGCACTGATTCGTATTTTATTGCTTGTACTTTAGAGATAGAGACACATTATGTCATTATTGTTAACTATGATTCTAATTTTCTTAGATTTCTACGCCTTTTTCCGAACCGAAACCTTCCATTTGGATTCAAGGAGGAGCGCATGCGCGAGAACAGATAGGTCCTGCAGTCCTTCTTTTTATCGCATTACAGGTAATTAAAAATTGGCGTTATTAACATGAAGTTTAAAATTATTAGAAATATGCATTATTTTACAAATATTTTACAATATGCATCGATAATTTTATTGCTAAAATTTCTTCAAAAATACCTTCATTCTTCTATATAAATTAATAATAATGACTGGAAAATAATCAATTCTTTTCATAGCATACAAGAACTGCACGAAAAGTAACGAGAGTAATGGAGATTTAGAAGTAGATGGAGGGAGACCCAAATTATATAGTTAAATTTTCTGCAAGTTGAGTCCGCAGATTAGGAGTAATTTTCAGTTTAGCGTCTTAATATGAAATTTAAAATGATTGGCAATATACATTATTTTCCAAACATTTTACAATATGCGTCGATAATTTTATTACTAAAATTTCTTCTAAAATGTTTTCATTCTTCTATATAAATTAATAATAATGACTCTTTCATGGTATACAAGAACTGCACTAGAAGTAACGAGAGTAATGGAGATTTAGAAGCAGATGGAGGGAGACTCGAGTTATGTAGTTTAATTTTTCCACGAGTTGAGTCCACCCGTTTGGAGTAATTGTTCATTTTAGCAAAGTCCGTTATTTACCAACGATCACTTTAACAAAGTGTTAGTGTCTTGTCATGACGGTAAAAATTGAAAAATCTCGAGTGGCGTTACGTCATAACTTGGAAAATCTGATTCTGTGAGCTTTCAGATTATGAGGATGCTGTTTTCGTCTTCATCTTACGTCTTTAAAGATTCACTTACGCTAGCGGAGCTTTGAGCCCAAGCATGAACGTGATGGCTTCGCTTGACGGCTTTATAATGGAATCAGCTTCATGAGTTGACTCAGTATTTTATTCTTGACATTTTCCATGACATTATTTCGTAAACCGTTTATCTGCTTCATGCAATAAATACATAGGTACTCAGGCTTATGTCAAAAAGATTAAGTGACTTTTATTTACTTTATTCGAGACGTCAAATCCAAACGCATTTCTTAGGGCCAAAGATCTGTTAGTAGATATGTTCTGCTAGTAATGTTGCGCGAGGCGTCTTTCAAGATCAGAAAACAAGCGACTGAAACCGGTATAGGTACTCGAAGAAAAGAACTGCCATCGTGAAACTGCAGACACATGGTTTCTTGATCATGACAATGTCCCAAGGTACTGACTTGGCTATGTGCGCTTTCTTATATTATCCAAACTCAAAAACCTACCTCAAAAGACATCATTTTGGGCCAAATGATAACTTCCAGGCAACTGCGAAGAGAACAGCATCTGCAATGAAGAACTCTTCCACTGCATCAACGCTAGAATTGCTGTTTTCGATCACAAAAGAACCTATCTGAAGAGGCAGACTTTGGAAACGTATATATTCAATATGACATTTTAAAAATCATTCTGATAATTTTTGGACAGATCGTGCATATATAATATAATTAATGTCGTTGATATTAACCGCCACTCAACGCATATAGAAATAGTTATAAAATTCACAATTAACAATTTTCATTTTCATTTTTATTCTTTACACATCTTTTCTTAAATTATATACAGAGACTTCTCTCAGTAATTAAACGATCTTAATAACAAAAGAATGCAATCTTAGTTTTCTTCATTTCTAATTTTCTTCATTCATTTTCTTCAAGCATTAAGTTGCTATACTTTTTCTATTAAGTTTTATGAATATCTGAAAACTCTTCCATTTCGCTCAAATCGTATGTGAACATATAAAATAACATCTAAACCTGGAAATTAAGACGAAAAAACGGAGCTCTTGCTAGTCCACGCCGTATAAGATCTTTCATTTCTTTTTCATAGTTTTAAGGAGCTTTGCTTCTCATTATATCTAAGTGAATGTAACACAATAAAAACAATCTCTAGTTTTTAATTGTGTTTTGCAAGAAGGTTTATTAACATTTAGATTACTAATGCACTAAAAATATTTTTTGATGTCATGCAATATATATTTGTCTTCTAGAACTTTTCTGTAACTTTCTGAAAGTACATTATTGTCTACATCAAAAGTAAAACTTTACGAGATTAAATTCTATAGGAATAGCAGCGCAATCATTTATAAATATAGCTGAGGACAATGATACAAAATTCTACGCAAATTATACTGCATTCATTCATCAGAATTTTTCTTCCGTTTTCTAATTAACACTCTGCAATAAATCTTTTCTAGGTGTTTTTTGTTTTCAGTTCGTAGACTTTACGTCTTGGTAAAGTAGTTCCATTTCAATTTGGAATATTTGCAAGTGATCTAGTGAAATGAACGCAAAGCTATGTCTTAAATAATTAAGTCTTTATTTTTTATCAAACAAATGCACAAATCCCCATCAGGCGTTAATTTACTCAGATGGAGAAATGATATGATAGCAAGTTTCTTCCTTACCGTTTGACTTTGCTATTTTTAACAGCTCTCTCTTTTTGTTTTTCCTTTTCTTTTTTAATTTATATTTTTGAATACAATTATTAAGATATTATTCTAACATTATTGAAAAAAACAAAATCCATATACCATATCTAGGTTAAATTTCTACAAAATTATAGTAATATATTTTATTTTCAATGAGTGAATTTTACTATTATGCTGACGATTAATATTCAGCAGGAAAAACCGTTCCATCAGTTAATGAATGGCAGAATGCATTTCTGAAATTTTAACTATAAGGTTTCTTAACCTCTTATTAATAGAGGTTAAGGAATTTTTTTTAAAGAAAATTTTAAAAAGGAAAGAAACTGTATAATTTATTTGGAGAAACTAAGAAACTACATCTGTGTGTTATTATCACCTGCTAGAAATTAAACGAAACTGTCTCTCGTGTTAGACAGGCATTTAAAATATCAGATTTCAAGTCTTTTGTAATGCTATTTTTATTTTTAAAATTCTAATTTTTTCCTTCTTATTTTTAGCTGAGCAGTTCATGCAACCGAAATGCTGAAATTTTCACGCTTGTGAATACGTTTGAATGGTATATTGATCCCATAGTTAATCCTGATGGCTACGAATATTGTCAGATTGTAAGTGATATGGTTATTAAAATGTAAATACATTTCTTATAATTTTGTATCATGTTTCACTAAGTAATCCCTCCATGATGAAAAAAAAAAAAATTTTTTTTTCCTCCCATTCTAAATTGATACGCCCTATTTTCATTTCTCTTCCCACCCCCAAGTTACTTTGAACATGGTAAAATATGAAATATTCACAATAAGGTGATCACTCAGCGTGATATGTCAAATGTTTCATAAGAATATGAATGTTTTTCTTTCCTTCCTCCCCCTGTTTTTTTTTTCTTTCGGATCGTGTAGTCTTCAACACTACAGGTGACTTCATTTATCTGATTTGAGTACGCCTTCCCTTTGTTCTAGGCCCATCAGCGGCCGAGTGGTAAAGTTGTAAGAGTTTTAATTTTTACTAACGTTTATTTTAAAACTTTACTGTCCCCTCTTGTTTTCCACTTCCGGCCAGAATAAGCACGGTTAGTTTTAGCATGCAAATTGAGCTTGCAAATTGTTAAGTGTTTAGCTTGTGGCTTTTAGCCAAGAAAGAGTCAGAGAGACTTCTCGCCACTATTTCACGCTCGCTTTTCAATTAGTAGCTGTTCTCCTTTAAGGCCAGAAACTTAGTCCTCTTGATACTGAAGACGTACTATTGTAGTTTTCCTGCATTCTGGTAATTACATATGTAAAGATTAAAAGGCCAATCATAGCGTTACTAGTCTTTGTAAAGTATTTGAGTTTAGCTCTTATTATTTAGTTATTATTTTTTACGTTTCAGACCATAAGTACTGGTCTCTGTATCCCGAAGTGCGGGAGCAGCTGTAAACTGTGAAGAATAAAGGGTAGTTAAACCCTTTCCACTTGTGTTGTATCTTCTCCACTTTTAGGAACATAGTTTCTAGTAAACTCTCTGTTCTTACTCAGGACTCCAATATTTTTGCCACAAAGCAATTACAAGAAATAGTTGCTGAACACTGGTAGTTCGGTCCACGGTTGTAATTCCGTGAAGGGGCTAGCTGAATGGACATTTTCGTGGTTTTTTCCATGCTTAGCTTGTATATGAGCCAACTCGCTTAAAAAGTACTCTACGAAGGCATACCTCCCCTTAGGCAGATAACCCTCGAGTGCTTTGCCATTATCAAAACAAACCAAACTTTTTTTTTTCTTATAAGACTGCATGAAATGTTTTACTTGAAAAAAATTATCCTAAGGTGATTTAGAATGGAACAGTAAAATATTCCTGTCTTTTGTGTGAATAAGTGCTGTGGAAAACCCTTGATAATGTCACATTCGAGTATATCTGGAGAAAATATTTCAGCAGCTTTCATGAACAGTATCATGTACATTCGAAGCACATATCCTGCTTCTAAATAAATTGTTACTACTTCCGAGGGAAAATACGCAGTGAAATACTTTGTGCTTTTAATTACGAATAAATTTATAAAATTCATAAAAATATTTGTCTTAGTTCTCTATGAAACACTAGAAGATTGCTTTTACATCTTTGTAAATATTTTAAAAAGTTTTTAATAGTAACATGTAATTGTTTTATATTAGAAATGTTTAAACTATTTCTTTTATTTTAATTTTAATTATTGCAGAAAATTTCCTTTAATTTTTTAAAAAACTTTTCAAAGATATTCAGTAATATTACATGTCTTAACAATTTTTATATTTATCTTTGCAAAGGATAAAAAATTCAGAATAAAAAGGTTCTATATGTACACGACCCGCCAGTTAATCGCGAATTTTTAAATGTCAATGAAATCACGAAAATACAACAGGCACACAGTCTTTTATTAAAAAATATTCCCAATCGCGTTCGCTGAACATAACATGAAATACCATATCGTTGATAGTGTTAATGTTGAAAAATGGCGTTTTCAAGATGCCTTCCATTTCACTGAACGCACTCGGTCAACCGATCGTGAAAATTTCCTCCAGCACGATGTAATATGTATACCGGAACTTCTGAAACCTCCTTCTGTATCCACATCTTCAGTTCTTCAGATATTAGATTAGTATGAAATTTTAATGTAACTAGCAATTTTACTGTTTACCAGATTGTAATCATCATTTGTCTTACTGTAATTCCAAAAGTATTGTTGCGTGTACGTGTTCGTAATGCACATAGAGCAGATGATAGTTTGATAAATTTATTTTCACAAAAGAAACACTTTACTGTTCTGGAACTTTCCAAAAAAGCACTCTTCAGCTCTTCTCAGTATCACAGAGCTCAATCAGTAGTTACACCTCAAATTACTGAGAACGTTAAGCACAGTGCAATGCAAAGTGTATCCAAAAGGCGAAGCTCTCACGGCGATCTCAATACTTCGATGTCAGCTCTGAACTAAACAACTGAGATTCATGTTCATCATTCGCGAATTGGTCTCAACTTCTGAGAGTTTTTGTCAATAGATCTTGGTGGCCGTAGGCAAATCACTGTTATTTTAACTTAAGAAGATGTACTACATGTGTACATCGGTCACCTGGAGGTGTGAAAATTTACAAGACCGAAGTCTGTCGATCATGGCCGTGGCAGTGGCAAAAGTCCTGCGTTCATTTATAAAGTTCATGCAAGCAAATAAACTAAAATGGTCGTATTCAGTCAAAATGAAATCAGATCAGTTAAATGAGTTAGGATTTTCATACAGTTCGTAGCAGAGAGCATTTTTTGGTCACATGATCATGTTTAACACAAGTTAAGTATTCTTTCATTAGTAAAAAACAATAAATTTTCCTTGACATTAAGACAGTTCTTTCACACTAGCTTCAGTAATTAACACACAAAGTCCAGCAAAGTAATAAAATTGATTAAAATCTATCTGTAAATTACGAAAATAACTAAGTTTTCAGTTACACTCCTAGTGTTGGATTGGTTAAAATGAATTCAGGAGACGTGGCCTGATGAATTATGCTAATTTGTAGGCGACTTTTTGTTTCTATGCCATTTTTCATTCACAGTACTTCTTAGTGAGATATTTATGAAAAACATTTAATCCTTGAATAAATAAGTAAATAAATTAATAAAATAAGAATACGAAGAACATAAAAATGAGCCAGCAAAGTCCTTTTCCTGCTTTGCCAGGAGAAACAAAGCCTATGAACCTGCTTTGTAAGATAAATGAGAAAACATAAATCTTGAAAAACCTATATACATATTTACAGTTACCAAGAAGCATTGTGGTGAATTGTACGCAGTCTTTTGACTACGCTTTCAATCGTTGTGTCATAATCACTCGGATTTCTATTGAGGTACAAACCAAAGAGCATTCACAATAATTCTCACATCTCTCAGGTCTTGCATAGTTTTCATCCGGCTGCCGAGAAATCTCAGCTTGGCGATATCTCGCCAATTTGGCAAGATAGTTCAATATCTATCTCAATGTTAAATAGACTTGCCCCTGTAACTTATTTTTCGCGCAGATATTTGCCCTTCTTCTCAATTGCATAAGCTTAAGTACTATATTTTCTCTCTCCTTTTCGCATTCCTTCGCTTCGAAGCACATTCGGCGCTTATTCGGAAGGCTCGAAGTTAGAATTCTGGCGAAGGAAAAGCGGGTTTCTTCAAATTCTAAATTTCGAAAAATTCTAAATAACTCTACGACTGTTTACCAACAGATATTTATTTATTTATTGTTACTTAACTGTGGTGGCATTGGTTTGAGTTTATCACGCTTGGCCGTACTTTAGGCCCTTGATAGCTTCGCAGTCTATTAACGCGTTAAGGTGCCAACCCTGTTAGAATTTTGATAGCTTCGGCTATATCTCTTTAGTTAAGATTAGTTTAAGTATTGATTTCTTAGTTTAGCTTAAGTTCAAGCCGAAGTGTCGGCTTTATTGTACACTCCAAGACGGAGTTTTGTTAAACAAACTTTAATTAATTGGAATAATAAAGGGTTATTTTACCCTTCTATCTTGTTGTTTCCTGTCACACGAACTCAAGCGATTATTCGCTTATCAGTTCTTAAGATTCTTCACTTCCAACAGTAACTTATAAATTACAAAGGAACTCTACACTTTTATAAGAAAAACCTGGCTCGTATTCAATTTACTTGTGGCGAAAACAGATTTGAACTCTGATTACTTCCAGTGTTTAAGCGTCTTAATCCTTTGGAGAAATCTTTTCTGATGCACAGATGAACTACGAGTAGTATAGCAAAAATTAAGAGGCTAAATCTCGTAACTGTTTTCGCAGTGTTTTAACGACTTGGCAAATATTGTTACTGCAGTAAAACCTTGACAAATTATATTATTTTATTATGATAGTTAAACAAAAGTCATTTATATTTTGACTCTGAAATAAGAGCTGTATTATTCTGATCTTTTGTTTTTAAATTTTAAATTGCCCTTTAAAGAAAAATATCCTTTAAAATCAAAGGAAAATTCTAGTTATATTACTTACTATAAAATTAAAGTACTTTATGATAATTCATAAACTATAAATAGTCAGAACCAACAATTCGGTAAAAAGTTATGAAAAATACAGTTTCAAGTAATTTAGCTATATTATATCAGAAAGATTCAAGAAAAAGCAGTTTGAGCCATATTTCCGTGAGGTTTAGTTTTCGTTTTTAATTAAGTTATTAAATATTGTACTATATTGTATTGTGTATATAAAGTTATTAAATATTGTACTATATTGTACATTTCAGGATCGCTTGTGGAGAAAGACCCGATCTCGTTGCCCAAGTTCAAAGTGTGTCGGTGTAGATGCTAACAGGAACTGGGATTTCAAATGGAATGGTAAATTATATTTACTACTATCATAATGCAACAAATTTTAACACCTTTCTTATTTCGCTACAGTCTTTTTATAACTAAAATTAATTATTACTATGCACTATAACTTATTTCCTCTTCCTATTCAGCCGGGGCAGTGGTTAGCGATGCTGACTGTCGTACCGAAGGGCCCAGGTTCGAATCCCAGAGAAGGCATGTTAGTTTGTAAATATATAGTATCTGTGCGGTATGAGGGCACTCTAAATATGCCGTGAGCCGAAAGTCCTTTCGAGAGGTTGGTGGTAGGCAAGAGGGTGGGGAGACCCTCGCACCTATCTCCCAGTGTGTTCTCTCTTGTGTTTAATTGATTGAACTTCCTGTACCGCCATTACAGGCTTAAAAGGGCTTAGTGGTGCTATTTCAATATAGAAACGTTGAAATCTAAAGCAAGGCCTAAATCAGGCCCATAAGCAGCAGAATAACCACCATACTACCTGAAATAACTTTAAATAGAATTCATAACTAAAATATGATCTTAACGTCTAGAAACTGGTGAGATTTACCAGCTACGCAAACAAATAACACATTATTACATACTTTGTAAAACAAAATATAACACATTTTACTTACATGCATAAAAATATGTTACTGACAGAATATCATAAACGCCATAATTTTTCTTACAACAGACCAAGAAATGTTTAAACACAATCAATATATAAATTCGTTTCATGTACAGATACATATTTTACGAAATTTGACAATTTCAATTTAGTCACTGTACTTTTACATAGATCCTTTAGAGTCTTAAAGTTAGCAATATCTGGAATAAATCTTAGAACAACATATTTCATAGAAGAACATCTAAATAACAAGTGCTCATGATCGACATAACTCATGCCACAAGGAAATGCACAATTTTTAATCGAAAACCTATTATAATAAAATGGGAAATGTCCATGATTAGTTAAAGCTTGGTTAAGATACTTGTCACTTAGGCATTTTCTCTCACTTATAGTTGAGATTAAGTTTTATATGTGAATCTTTCTTTAGATACTGGGTCGTTCAACTTTGCTTGCCAAAGAGTCAAACTTTTTCTTTTCAACAAGGATTTCAAACTGTCTTTACTTCAAAATCAATAATTAGATTTTCAGTGGCAGCCTTTGTCAATCTATCTGCTAATGCGTTACCAATAGTCCCAATATGACCCTTCGTCCAAAAGAATTTAATATATCTGAAAGCGCTAAGAAAAATGAGCATATCTTTTATCTGTTTAATTAAACCGTTACTTGGACAAACATCCGTGATTGAAACAAAAAAATTCTACAGGATCTAACGTAGATGTAGAAATAAGCCAATATAAGGCTTCTCGCAGAGCCACTAACTCTTGCCTGGTAGACAGAGACATTGTCAGAATGTCTATATTTCCTTTGTATGCTTATTTTCTCGTGTGAGAACGCACAAAAGGCTGCCTCTACATGACTATTTAATTTAGATCCACCTGTAAAAACAGTGTAGGGTGTCATATTAGGGAGGCCTTTATGCTAATTCAACCGTTTGAATAAAGCTGGATGAATGCCCAATCTTTCTTCAAAGTCAAAATCTCTAGCTGAGAAGACCTCACTGAAGCAATCGACAGTTTTATTACCAGCTTTTAGTTTAAAGATAGAATATTCTTTTTCTGCTAAAATATCGATCGGAAGACATCCAGACAAAATCTGAAGAGCTACTGTGGAAACAGTTCTAAAACACTTAGTAATCCCCAATAAAGCGATTCTTTTGAATTTGCAAAATTTTGTAACGCATTCGGATCGATCCAGTCCACCATGCGCCAAATGCATACAAGATCTTTCTCTCCATAGCTCTTTTATATAAACTCTTAAGAACTTTACCTTGGGAATTCATTTTACTAAGTCTATTAAGAATATGAGTGCATTCAAACTTTATTTGATCTATAGGTGAAGTATAAAAGTGAACTTTTCATCGATCGTAATGCCCAAATATTTGATTGTCTTAGAAACTCTAATTGGTTGTCCTTAGAGTTTGATCCTAGGACGTATTGATCTAGTATTAGTTTTGGCAATACCCAAAAGAAAGCTCTTCTTTGGATCAAATTTAAGTTTAACATGGAAAGACCACTTTTCCAATTCTTGCGTGGCGAAACTTAAAGCTTTATCAGTAAGCAGGACGACCACTCCCGTGGCCAATAAAACAAAATCATTAGCATAAGCTTGCATACTAACATTTTGTATACAAGCTTATGCTTATTTTTGTGGTAAAGTTATGTTTAGGGCTATAGTAGCAATAATATTTCACAAAAGTGGACCAGATATTGAGCCTGGGGGACAACTCCTTTGGTAATTTCTGTGGTACCCCTTATTACCATCATATAAGGAAACTTTTCTTTCCTTCAGAAAATCACGTATCAATAAGAAGATGTTTGTTTGTTTCTTGGACATTTCATATCTTTTAATTAATTTAATAAAATTGGTCACCAAACGTTGTTAAAAGCGCTCTTTACATCTAAGGCTAAAATGGCAGTAAGTTTACCATTCCTTCTATTTCGATGGATGTCAGAAATTAAATTATCTATAGCCTGGGTAGTGCTTTTACCCGGCATAAAACCAAATTAATTTTATTTAAAAAATTATTTGATAATATATAATATTGTAACCGTTGTGTCATGAGTTTATCCAGCACCTTACCCCAGGAAGGCAGTAAACGAATAGGGCGAAAAGAGGAAGGAACTTCTTTATCCTTTCTTTGTTGAACAAAACTAAATCAGCCTCTTTCCAACATTCAGGAAATATTCTTCTCCGAAGACATTCATTCAGAATAGCTAAAAGGAACTTTTTATTACATTCAAAGATTTCTAAAATAATTTTCATTGCCAAGCCATCTTTACCAGGAGCTTTACCTTTATTTAACTTTTTAAGAGTATAAGTCTCTTGTGTACGAAGTCCCAATCACATATGTTTCCACTACGAGGGACGTTTTGTCGAAAGGGATAATTCTCAGAACCCGCACATTTCCACGAAACCTACGTAGCTAGGTTACCATTTTCACTTACTAAGAAGACTTGAACGCCAAACAGTAATCGATTATAACTCAGATTGAAATCACATGATCCTCCAGAAACAGAACGTTGGTCTGATTGGTTGATCTCTACTCGGGACAGAGCTGCAACCGAAACATTTTCGGCGAGGTTTCGGAAAACCTCACGTAGCCGGCACATCGTTCCGTAACTAGACGGGACTTCGCTTTCAGCGAAGCTGTTTTTTCTAGGAATCCTTGCGTTTAAACCAGTGCTACCAGAACCTCGTTTCTGATGTTTTTCAAAGAACACTTAAATTTCCTACTCTACACACTGATTTGTCTTTCTTAGCGTCACCTTCGGTTATCGGGCAAATTACACGTAAGTGAATTATGAACGAATCGTAAATAAGTGAATAACACAAATGACTACTATGAATATGACAAGCAAATATTACACAGGAACTCTGCAAACATAAGAACAGCACACATGATGTACATTAATATACCCAGTTAATATTGTTCAGTATAATGCATCTGAACAACTTCTTATATACAAGTTACCACTGACTACTAGAGTAAATATTTTCTGTAAACTCAGAATGAAAATGCATAAAACATTGCTAAAATCCTCATTCAGTACAGTCAAAGTCTTGACAGGGTTTCTTTAATGCCATAAATACCCATCTTCCGAAGTAACTTTATAAATTCCGCTGCAAATTTTTAATATTCCGTAAAGATCTTTGAGTGGGATTAGCGACAATAGAATGCTCCACCAGTTGAGTACAAATACTGATAGTCATATAACAGGCGATACAGCAGCTCAGCTGGTGGTAAGTAAGTGTGTTCTTTCTCAAAATTGGGGGCGGAACTGAGTTAAAGTCGGCTGTCACCTATATGGTTCTTAAGGCTCTTGCCAACCACAGGCGTATTTTACTCCTTGCCACGATGAATGTCGCGGGCTTGCGCTGACTTCTGTCAGACAAGTGAATATCCTCTTTCTACCCTAAAAATAACAGCATGCTTATAATACCTAAATAAGCTTTCTAAACATATAATAGAATATTATATACTTTGCTTATAATATCTAAGTTAAGGGGTGGCCAATCTTTTTGGGAAGAGTGCCACTATCTGGAAAAAAAAAAAAAAGTTACGTGTGCCACTTCCAATTTTTCCAACATACAAAAAAATATAAAAAAGTGAAAAAAAAAGCGTTTGTATGCTGATTATGGGATTTTTACGCAAATACCCCTTTTTTATGTAAGTCTGAGTAATGGATATTTAAAAAATAATGTAATAAATAAAACAAATATATAAACCAGGGATTTATTGTTAATAAACATTTTTAAAGGTTTAGTCAGTTACGTTATGTGTTAAATAAAAATTAATAATTTGAAACATTTAATTCTAAATAACTGTTAAACAGTCCGTACTTCACAAATATGGTTTTTGAATATGTAGTTTTTTTTTTAACTATGTCATCTATTAGGATTAGTTCTTGAAGATGCTAACAGAATTAGGCGTTTTAGGTGCATATCAGTTAATCTTGAGCGATATTTTGATTTTATTATGTTCATAATAGGAAACATTCGTTCGCAAACATAATGCTGATTCAAACGTACAACAATATCTGATAGCCAAATCGTGTGAATTTGGAAAATTGCTTGTTGTTGGTACAAATTTCCAAAATTCAATATAATTTGGAGCACTTGCAGTTGAAATAAATTCCTTATGTTTGCTTTTCAGTCTAGTATGCTGCTGTAGGTCAATAATTTCGATTTGGATTTCAGTCGAGTAAGAATTAACGTTTTGCAGAGAAAACGGATTATTATAATTCTTCTAATGCTTCATATCTATCGATATTATCGACGATTATATCGTTATCTATCGACGGAGTTGATACAGATGATATGATTATTTTTTTCAAATCCTATAATTTTAGACTAGTCTTTGCGTGCCACTGTTAAAACTCTACTTGGGACACTGTGGCA